TTACTCCCTTGGTTTCCAGGATACCAGAGTCTTAATTTTCATGCCACCTCTGTGGTTGCTCCTTCTGTCTCTTTTCCTGGTTCTTACTCTTCTTCCCACCTCTTAATGTTGGATGCCTAAGGCCGCAGGCCTGGGTCCTCTTCTCTCTTAACGTTCACCGCCTTGGTTCAGTAACAAGTTAAAAAACCCATCTGCACTCCAGTGACTTCTGTACTTTAATTTCCTGACCAGACCTTTCTCTTTTAATTGTAGAGCTGCTTATGAAGCTGTGTATTGAACATCTTCAAGGGGCTGTTGAGTAGATGTGTCAGACGCAGCCCATCGGAAACCGGATGCCAGGGCTTTGCTTCTGAGCCTGTTTCGTGGGCAGTGTTTCCTGTTCCAGTTGATGGCAGTGCCATGCTTCTTGCACATGTCAAATGACAACGAAAACAGTGCAGTAACGAGTTTGATGTCCTTGACTTGGGGGAAGATGATCCCTGGGTTGAGGGAGTGCAGTGCCTAACAACCTGGGGAGAGAGTACTCTTCCTGAAGGATTTGAGGCAAGGGCAAGGTTTGTAGAATGTTAGAAGAGGTGGTACAGAAACAGGGCCTGATTGGTTAGGACATTGGAGATTTCCTTATGAGGCGAGCAGGCTCTCTTCTCAAGGGTAAAACACCCTAACTAAAGCCAAGTTGGAGGACTGTGATTGGTGTTGGGTTTCCTTGGCAGTGAGGTTTTTCCCACAAGTGCAGGCTGACTTAGGTTTAGATTTGTGACATGGGCAGGGCTCCTGGAGTGGACTTCATTTTGTGGGTCTTGATAGATCAGACAAAAGCCTTAGAGTCCTGCTTTACTCCGTTCTCTCATCCCAGATGCATACTGTTGGGAAATCCTACTTAGTGCCACCTTTAAAACATAAAATGTAGCTACTGCTCCCTACTTCCGTTGCTGCTGTACTGATCCAAGTCGCTGTCACCTCTTACCTTGCCTCCTAAACTCATACTCAGCTTTAGCTCTTGTCCCTAACAATGTATTTCTAACATTGCAATCAGGAAGGTTTTTAGATGTAAATCAGTCATGTCACTGCTTGCTCAGAACCCTCTCGTTGTTTCTCATATCACCTGTAATAGAAGCCACAGTCTTTATAATGGTCTTCAAGGCCCTGCAAGATCCAGACCTTTTTTGCTTTCCCTGACTTCCTCTGTTCTTTCGTCTATCCTTACTCTGCTCTACCTTGAATACATCGAGTATGCTACTACCTTAGGGTCTTTCCCGACCCTTGCAGCTCCGGGAGGACCAGCTCCCCACTGGCCTCCTCAGAGCCCATGTGTTTGAGAAGAAGAAAGCCTGTGAGGGCATTAGTTGGGCTGAAAGGAGCGAAGGACAGAGGGGCAGGGGTACGGCAGATGTTGAAGTCTTGGTGAAAAAGAGCCAGTGGGCGAGACAATCCTAGATATACTAGCAATTGGTGAGTTCAACCTACTGTTATTATGAGTAATAATGAGAGAAAGCAAAAGAGACTTTGTAGCAAGTTAACAGAGATGAGGGGGTCTTCAGTTAGCCAATGGAAATGTTCATAAATCAGGGTTCATAATTTGAAGGTCCCTTCACATATTGATAAGGTACACTCTTTCGTAGATAGTAGATTTGGTGTTCTGCTGCTTAGTTATGATTTAATGATACGCTCTTCAGTTTAACAGAGAATAGGCCAAATAATTGCTTGAGCATTATTTTTTGACTCGAAAAGGTTAAGAGAAAACATTCAGTTATTGAATTCCTCCTTTAATTCAGTATTAGGGGAAAATGTTCCTGAAGTTAGTCTTGTATATTTCATCAAACAGAAGAACCAAAATGTGTTTCCTGTTATTTTGCCATAGCTGATAGGTTTCAGAGTCTAACCAGTATTTAATTTACCTCAAACACCTGTTTACTCCAGTCCTTTGTACCTTTTTGATTTTTAATTGCAGGATTTATACTATGTTTAATTTTATGAATTGCCAGAATTGCTAAGGGAAATAGACTTAGTTGATGTTGTAAAGTATCCTCTAATTAAGGGTTTATATAATGATTCTCCATGTCATAGTCAAGAAAACTTTCTATGGTTCTTTCAAATTTGTTTGTTTGCATGCTCCTCCCTCAGAGGGAACAGTAGAAAAAGTGAAGCCAGCCATAAGGTTAGTACACAAATTTTATGCCGTAGAATTACACATCTGATTCTGAATTTCTCCATAGCCAACACTTAAGAGCAAAGTTACCTACATGATTCACTGAAGTCTATAAGGTAAAAATGAACTAGTTGTTCGGGGGAAAGCACAGCTAATCCCAGTACAAAATTTTGAATGAATATCACTCGTGGGTGCTTATAATAAGAATGTTGTAATTAAAAAAGGTACTTGGGGCAAGACAGTACAGTCACTTTTAGGATCATCAGTGTTCATGGATATAGGAGGTGAGCATGATCTGGCTGTGACATCTGTCACCTCATTGATCAGCAGGGTTGATTTGGCTGATCTGGCTGACTAGGCGGGTGTACCCTCCTTCCCTCACCACTCGGTGTGTGCTCCTCCCGGAGCTGCAAGCTTGGTTAAAGAGGATGACTCTCCCCAATAGAGGATGACCGTTCTTTGGTCATGGGTATATGAATAGCTATACTCCCCTGCTAAAACCTCCAAACAAGCTCTCAGGGTACATTTGTAGGAGAGTGTAGGGTAGTCAAGCTTGCAAGACTCCAGACATCCAAATGCAGCCCTGCATGTGACCGTTTGCCTTTCTTAAGAAGTTTAAAAGAAAAAAAAAAAGAAAACACCAGTGTCCATAGATGTAAGATGCATCACTTGCTTTCACAAGAGTTTGTTAGTCAGTGGTTCTTAACCTGTTTTTGGTCATAGATCCTCTAACATTTTTATGTAGTTTTATCATGAATTTACTAAATATGCTGATTCTGAACTCAAGAGATTCTGATCCCAGTAGGTCTGAGTTAAGTTTTAGAAACTTATGTGTGGGGGCGCCTGGGTGGCTCGGATGGTTAAGCGTCTGCCTTCGGCTCAGGTCATGATCCCAGAGTCCTGGGATCGATCCCCGCATCAGCTCTCTGCTCGGTAGGGAGTCTGCTTCTCCCTCTCCCTCTGCTGCTCCCCCTGCTTGTGCTTTTTCTCTCTGTCAAATAAACAAAATCTTAAAAAAAAAAAAAGAAAGAAAGAAACTTGTATGTGAAACTGCCGCACTAGGTGATTCTGAGGTGGGTTCTTGTTAGCCCACATGTTTAGAGACCTCTTCTGGGTTATAATTTTAGGGAGTTTGCAGATTCCAGGTAGTTAGTCTAGAACCTTATCTGATACGAGTGAGCAGCATCTTTAAGAATGTTATATAGTAAAAACAGTAATGAGTTCCGTAGGTGTGTTTGGAAATTTCTCATAAGCATGTTAGGAAGTGAATGACTTGTATTTATTGGTGAAAGCAAGTCACGTGGCCCCGGTAGTAATGACTGAACACATATGCTCTCTCTCTCTCTTTAGTAATGTAATGAATTGATGACCTCCTCTTCTTAATATTCAACCACTTCACATTCGTGGGATAAACCATGTGTGATTATGAATATCATTCTTTTGATATGCCACTTGTTTAATTTGTTAATATTTATTTAAGATTTTCTCACCTATGTCCTTGTTGAATTTGTCTAGAGTTTCCATTTCCTGTGCTTTTCTCACCAGTTTGGTATCAGGGTTTTGTTAGTATTAAAAAGGGGGATGGGTATTTTTCTGTTTTGTTGTTGTTGTTTTTTGTTTTTTCTCAGTTTTCAGAATTTATATAGAATCTCAGTATACTTTTTGTGTGGAATTTAGGGCAACTATAAAATTAGAAGGCACAGTCTTTATACACAAGATCCCCCTCACTTCTCATACCAGCTACAAGTTTGGAGGGTTCCCAAAACCACCCTGTGATTCAATAATTCATTAGAAAGACTCATAGATCATGGTATGGCTTATTTTGGAGAAAGGATACGATTAAGATCTGCCAAAGAAAGAGGGCAGAGTGTAGGAGGTTTCCAAACACAGAGCTTTCCTCGTCCTCTCCGCTGTAGTCAGATCGCGTATCTCTCTTGGTCTTACTGTGTGACCGTGTGTATGGAGTACTGCTAGCCAGAGAAGCTCACCCAGGCTTTAGCATCTAGAGTTTGTTTTAGATTTTTATTTTTAAGTAATCTCTACACCCACCATGGGGCTCAAACTCAACCCTGAGATCAAGAGTCGCACGCTCCACCTACTGAGCCAGCCAGAGTTTTTCTTTTCCTTTTTAAGATTTTATTTATTTGTCAGAGAGCGAGTGAGCACAAGCAGGGGAAGTGGCAGGCAGAGAGGCAGGCTCCCTGCTGAGTAGGGAGCCTGATGCGGGACTCGACCCCAGGACCCTGAGATCATGACCTGATCTGAAGGCAGCTGCTTAACTGACTGAGCCATCCAGGCCTCCCTGTCCGGAGTTTTTACTGGGGCTTCGTTATGTAGGGATGACTGATTGATTGCTTGTGGATAATCTCAGTCTCCATTTTGGTTAACCCAAAACCACCTCCCCAAGTTACAGTAGTGTTTCTGGGTTGGTCAGCCCCAACCTTAAGGACTCTGTGGGTGTGGCCCGTTCCCTCCCTGAATCACATTTGTTAGATTATCCAGTTTGACCCAAGGTTACCAGGCAAACAACAACTCTCTTCTCAGACACACAGTCTGAGGGCCCAGAGATCACCTGCTGCGAGTCAAGGACAAAGACCAGACCTTCCCCTTGGGCAAGGCCAAGTTCTTTGTACATTTGTACAGTTAAGTTTCTTTTTCGTGGTGTCTTCCTGTGATTTCTTGGAACCACGTTAGGTTCATAGGGATCCCATTGTGGAAAACTGGTTGTTTTAAATTGAAAACCTTGCATTTCTCTAGTTAACTCTGGAAAGGCAAAAATAACGGACACTTCTGATTTAGCTGCATTTAAATTAAACTACTTTTTATCTTTTTTTTTTTTTTTTTTTTTAAGAATAAAGGTTCACTTCAGTTTGAAGACAAATGGGATTTCATGCGCCCGATTGTTTTGAAGCTTTTACGCCAGGAATCTGTAACAAAACAGCAGTGGTTTGATCTGTTTTCGTAAGTAATCTATTAACTCTAACTTTTTGCTAACGTAAAGGAAATTTGGTGATGCATTTCTATACCCAAATGGAATGCTCACTTTAGACCGGACTGTTTACCTGTTTACAATTATTATTAGTCCAAGCCCTCTTATGAATTCAGTGATTTGCTAGGGGGACTCCATCATACACAGCTGTGGTTTATTACAGCAAAAGGATACAAAGCAAAAGCAGCAAAAAGGAAAGGCACGTTGGATAAAGTGTGGGGAAAAACAGGTGTAGGCTTCCCAGAGTACTTGTGGAATCACGTAGGAGATAGTCTCTCCAGCAACAGAATTGACAACCAATGTGATACGTTGTCTACCTGAGAAGTTCTTGCAGACTCAGTATGAGAGTTTTTACTGGGGACTAGTCACATAAATAGCCTCTGCTTGGCATGTGCCCAAATTCCAGATTCTCAGAAAGATCAGGTGTTCAATGTAAACCATATAGCTTGTACATTTAAGGCACAGTGGGACATTCTTGCCATCAGGAAAGTTTTATATCAGGGTAGGAAACTGTTGACCATTTAAAGTTAACTCATTATCAGTAGGATACGACGGGGCAAGGTAAGGCCAATCCATAGTAGTGATCTCAGTTATGTCTTTAGAGGTCCTAGATTTAGCTAGTGAAAATAAATCCCATCAACCATGAAGTTTATTTTAGGAAACCAGGTGGATTTCTCTCCTTCACTTTCTTTCTATCTTTTTTTTTTTTTTTAAGATTTTATTTATTGATTTGAGAGAAAGAGCATGAGCAGGGGGAGGGGCAGAGGGACAGGGAAAAATAGGCTGAGCAGGGAGCCTGACGTGGGGCTCGATCCCAGGACCCCAGGATCATGACCCGAGCCGAAGGCAGACGCTTAACCATCTGAGCCACCCACGCGCCCTTCTCCTTCACTTTCTATATGAACCTTTTTTACACGGCCGGAGGCGTCAATTCAGGCACAGTGCAACTCTGGCCCCTAAGTTGAAACGCACCTGAAAGCTTTCCAGGGTTAAAGCAGTGTCATGGTCATCAGAGCACAACCATGAAGAAGTATAATCTCAGAGGGCATATGTGGTACCCCAGAAACAAAAGTTTACGATTGTTAGGGTACTCCAAGAGAGACATACGTTGGTCAGGTAGTATACGGTAACAAGGCCCCCCGTTTCCCTCCTCCCAGAGGACCTTTAGCTCTAGAGTTCTCATTCCCATTCTGTTAATTCATTTCAGGCCTTGTTTTCAGATGAACTGCCTGAAGGAAATTAGTCCCAAATAGTTTTGTTTATTCGTGACCAGTGGATTTGCCTCACTAGTGTGGATGATGTTTAGAAGGGTTCTGTGTGGAAAGTGTAGGAGTTGGCTGCTCCCTGCTGTCTCCGAGCCCTGGGTTTGATTTCAGAGCACCCACAGCAGCGAGGAAAGCCAGTGCTGGGAATTTGCCTTCAGGAGGAGAGCAAAGCTTTGTAGAATCATTCTGAAAAACAAAAAATCATTAATGTCTTCCTCCTCTCCTTTGCCTTCTCAGGTGCTGTGTTTTGTTTTTCTTTCTTGTAAAACCAGTGTGTCCCATTCAGTAATGACAAATTTTCAATTTTTTCCCACAATCATGTGGACTTGCAAGAGGAGCAAATGCATTTTTACAGAAAAGTATTTTTTATATCCTTTAACTAGAAAGATGTGTTTGGGTATTGGTCTGGATGAAATCCCAGATGTTTAGAAAATTTTAAGGTAGGTTTATGTCACCTCCCGTGCCTTTGTCCTGATCATTTATGTAGTGAGCAGCCTAGAAAAGATCCACTCCTTTCTGGAGACAGCTGTGTTTAACAACCAGGTTGTTTTATTAAGGTGTATGCACAAGGATGGTGAGGTGAAGGTGAGGGAAGTAGAGCCAGGTTGTTATTAATCCATTGTTGAAAACTGAACACGAGTCAGTAACAGTGAGACCTCGCGGAGAGGGCGTCAGGAGTCCAGTCTGTGAGGGGGGTCCCTGCCCTCCCATTGGCAGCTTTCGGCAGTCACTGCAAGTTAGGGGGCAGTTAGTGTCTGTATCAGATAAATAGACCAGTCAGCTGCTTGACTTCAGATGGCGCCATCAAAGAATAAGCCCTTCTCTGTAGGCATCTGGGAGTGATTCAGGTGGTCCAGGCAGAATCCAGGGTGTTTTCAGTTTACAGCTCTGCAAAGGGTATCTGAAATCCGCAGCAGTCCTCATGTCAAAGTCCTGTTCACTGAGCATGTGCTTGCTTTAGTTCAGCACAGCTTATGTTGAGCTTGAAACAGCCAGTAACAGACAGTATCACGTTTCAGCTCAGAATCAGATCCGGGCAATTAAGATCTGTGAATTCAGGATGCTAAACAAGAGCAACTTTTCTTCTGCAGCCGCAAAGCCAAGATGGCGACAGTCGTGTTCCAAGTCCAAATGACAAGCAGGACTTTGCTAAGTAAGGCCTTTTTATCTTACCAGTCTAAGAGTCCAAATTGACTTGCTCAGAAACATGCACATCAGGCTGGAAAATCATCAGCCTCTAAGGGTCAGACATCTGATTTCACAGGAGCTCAGTGGCCACTAAAAATTGCTTTTTATGGGGCGCCTGGGTGGCTCAGTTGGTTAAGCGACTGCCTTCGGCTCAGGTCATGATCCTGGAGTCCCGGGATCGAGTCCTGCATCGGGCTCCCTGCTCGGCAGGGAGTCTGCTTCTCCCTCTGACCCTCCCCCTCTCATGCTCTCTCATTCTCACTGTCAAATAAATAAAATCTTTAAAAACAAAACAAAACAAAAACTGCTTTTTATTTATTTATTTATTTATTAAAGAATTTATTTATTTGAGAGAGAGAGTGAGAGAGAGAAAGAGCACAAGAGGGGGGAGCGAGAGAGGGAGAAGCAGACTCCCCGCTGAGCAGGTAGCCTGATGTGGGACTCGATCCCGGGACTCCAGAATCATGACCTGAGCCGAAGGCAGTCGCTTAACCAACTGAGCCACCCAGGCGCCCAAAAACTGCTTTTTAGAACTCCAAAAGTGTATTTCTATCTGAAGATTTCCTTTGTTTTTATGTTGTCTCTCTTTTCTCAGACATACCAATAGGTAAAAATAATAGTAAATATCACTTTTTCCGTTCAAACACGTTAAGTTCCAATCCTTTCACCAGCAGCTTAAGGCAAGGAAGTTGTGTCCACTAACTTTTTGGGGGATGGCCTTTCCTGATAGGTGCAATCTCTGTAGCATTTATGAAAGTACAAGCATATAACATTTTACATCTTTCTTGATCATACATCCAGATGCCATAGCCACAAAATACAAAGCCATCTTTTAAACCTCCCCTTTCTTCCCATTATACACTTACTCAGACCCCTAGCACCATTGACATTAATGTTAGAGTTGCTGGGAGAACCTGGCCGGAATGCAAGGGGCCTGGAGGGATTGCTTTAGCAGCAGCCGTTGGGCTGAAGAAACAGCTCAAGTGGTTTCCTTTCCCTGCACGCACCTCACCCCCAGCATTTTCTCCCCTGGTTTATCTAAATCTTTCTCCCACCCCAGGATCTGACTTAAATATTATTTTCTCATGGCTCGGGGTGGCGGGGGGAGAATAATGCCAACATTTGACATTTTTGGTTCACCCAAAGCTTAACTTCGGGCCTTTTCTCTTCCCATTTGGAGGCAAGAACAAAACCAAAGGTGTTAGCCAAGGTCACTAGAGTTGGCATGGCTGAAAGCAGCCAGGGGATTGAGCGAGCTAACTCTCCAGGGGCTAGAGCTATTGTTTTCAGCTTTCCTAGGTAACCCTTTTCTCTTAAAACATATGCAACTCAGCTGCTGTTTCATACCATGGGTGACTTTATAGCCACCCAAACAGCAGAGGTTCATCGTCCAATCACTTCATCCTTACTTTTATCAGACATTGCTCTCACCATGTTTCAGAGAGTCCCAGCTGGTCTAGTGAATCCCACTTCTGACACCAATTGTGTCAGCAGTCTAATGACCACCTCGAGGTTCAGTGATTGCTAGGAATACTCATAGGACTCAGATATGGTTGTATTCATGGCTATGATTTATTACAGTAAAATGCAACAGAGGTGTGGGTGGCAAATCCAGGGGAAACCAGGCGCATATTTCCAAGCATCCTCTCCCATTGGAGTCACACTGGAGACTCCAGCAGCTGATTGTGACAGCATGTGTGGAAGTCTGTCTGCAGGGAAGTTCATTAAAGACCGTGTCCAGGGATTTAACTTGGGGCTGTCACATAGGTAGCCTCTGCCTGACATGAACTGAAGTCCCAGACTCCTAGATGAAAAGCAGATATTCAACATAAATCAGATTGTTTGCCTAAACATTTAGGCACAATGAGCGATTCTCATCAGGAAACAGAACCTTCACAAAGTCCAAGTTCCCAGATACCAGCCAAGGGCCAGCCTTGCAAGCACATCTTCCCAAGGATAGTGGTCTCAGACCTGCTCTAACTTTTCTGTGTATGCTCTAGTGGAATACTGTATCGGGAGTTGTAGATGTGTGACTGAATAATCCGTACACGTTAAGCTGTTCTCGTTTTTTCTCTTTATCACATAAGAAAATCTAATTTCCCTAATGTAGAACTTGTTGCATAATATTAACTTATATGCATGATTCTGCCTTTTGAAAAATTAAAGTTCAATAAACACCTAAGCCCTTTTAGAAATACATAGCATTCATGTATACTTATATTTTTCTTAAATTATTTGATTAAACTATTTTATGAATAATATGTTGAATGTGGTGAGGTTTTTTTTGTTTTGTTTCTGTCAATTTGTGTTGATTATATCATTTATCATCTAGAATGATGCTTGTTTTCTGGGCACTTCTGACTGGGAGAAGGGTAATGTGATGGTGTTCCCTGCTTAAAGTGCATTTCTAAGCAGAAATAGTCAGTACCTTTGTACTTGCTCTAGTTAGTGGTCTCATCACATCATTTTTAAAAATCCTTGATCTCCTTGGAGTTACCCAAGATAACTTAATATGTAGT